GGGGGGGGGGGGGAGTGATACTTTTCAAAAATAATGTGTCAACATTAAGAATGGAGTCCTTTAATGATCCATGTATTAGCTTCTAAAAAAAAGTAAGGCCATGCATATATATCTAAAAAATAGTGAGGTGGTCAAGAACTTGCTCAATTTCACAACAGTACATAATCCCATATTACTCCATCCATTCAACAAATATTATCCAGTGCCTGTTACAGACCAGGCACTACATTATACTAAGCAGTGACCGAGGAGGCAGTATAACAGCAATGAACATAATGGACTTTGAACTTCAATAAGCCTGAGTTGTAGTCTTGGTTCCACCACTTATTACCCATGTGAGTTTGGGCACGTTATATTTCTCCAAGCCTCAGAGTCTTCAATTGTAAAATGAGGATAATAATAGTACCTCTTGGAGATGTGAAGATTAAAAAAGAAAAATTGCGTATAGCACTTAGCACAATATCTGCCACATGGTAAAAGTTCATAGTAATACTATTATTATTTTCATCATCATGAGGAACAGATGTTATTGAGTTTACTGTTCACTTCCCAGACACTCAATTAGAACACATTAGCACAGGCTGTTTTTTTTTACTCAGAATTATTTTTGTCATGGTTGCTTTTTTCCTACCAAGTCCTTGGTTCACTTTGAAACTTTCTGACTGCCTTTTCTCACAGACTCTCTCACTTTTGCAGTCCCTAACACAGCTTACTTTCACACTTTCCCCATAACTATTCATTCATTTATTCCTTCATTGTGATTAATTCAATTCACCTATTTAATAAGTATTTATTGACTACCTGCCATATGCCAGGCACTGTTCATTCCCTATGCAAATCCCCTGATCCTTGAACCACCAAGATACCCCTTACTGAGTGTATTCACCTCTTTGTGTGAACATTGCTAGGTCTGCATCTACACAGACCACAGGAGGCCCAGCCAATGGTTAACCTGGGTCCCTGGCCTTTGTTGGACCTCTGTAGAAAGGGAACTGAAATGTTTCTTCTGGTCTCCTAGGACTATGTTTAAGATGAAGCTTGCTGCCAATGATCTCGGCTATTAACAGGGACAAAAGTAACCAGGAAGCACTGGAACAAGGTCAAAAAAAAATTTAAACCAAACACAATCATTATGTGACTTGTTTTTTTGAACATTATTTTTGAAGTCTCAGGTTACAATCTGTCATAGAATTTTGCAAGAATTCCTCCCAGCTCAGCCAAGTTGGATGAAGATGTTTCAGTCATCCCTGTGTGATGGTGAATATAAGCTCCCTTTTTTGAGGAGCAAGAATGAGTAGGTTAGAAAATGATTGCATAAGGTTGAATGAGCTACTCAGTATGTGAACAGAGAATTTTGCTTATGACATTACCAATTACAATCATTCCTGAAAGAATCCTTCAACAAATGCAGAGTGGTAGTGGACTCCTCCAAGAAAGACAATAAGATTATAAGATTGTGGAAGATGCTTTCCTTAGAACATAGTTAACACTCCTTTTGTTATAAGGTTGTACTTTGGATTGACCTTTCCCCTCCAAGCTCCCCCCCCCCCAAAACCCCAGGAAATAATGAATACAAAAAAAGTGTAGAATGAAATACTGGGAAAGAAAAAAACCAACACATTAATTCACAAATGCCAGAGATGCTGGGTATAGGATGCAGAAAGAATTCACAATTAGTAATATTCTTCATGCTACCATGTAGCTACTTAATTATCTAAGTAAATCACAGAGTCTATTTAAGAGTAATTGTTTCCTACCATTCACTTTGAATGGTTTGTCTCAATCTACAAAGAAAGACTTTCTTCATGCTTACTAAATTGATGCTATCTGCCCCATTTTTCCCTGACAAGGAGGAAGACCACATTGAAAGTTTTGCTTAGATGGTGAGGGTTTTAAAAGCCACCCTTAAGCTTGATCGGATTCATTACTTTGAATCTATTTAAGGAGGTAAAATTTAAGCCATTATAATAAAGCAAATAACACTTTACTGGTTGATCTATCTATATATACATATAAGTTCTGACAGCAGGAAATGCTTGACTTCAAGGTGTGATTATGAAGGGTCTGTTATATTTACAGAAATAAATTTGGTTCTAAAAGTTAACCGAAAAAGATTTCCTCGTACATAATATTAGGTATAATTTTAGAGTGAGTGAAAAGGAGGGAGGGGTGGGGAAACATTGATGTGTCTCATATTGACTGGTTGCCTTCTGCACACATCCTAACCGGGACAGGAATTGAACCTGCATCCCAAGAAGGTGCCCCTGACTGGGAATTGAACCTTCTACCCTTCGGTGTTTGGGTTGATGCTCTAACCACTGAGAACACTGGCCAGGGCTATTAGGTATAATTTTTTCCTTATGACTGCATCATATACCCAGCTAATGCTAGGTAAGAATGATGAAATTATCTAAATGAAATGGTCCTAAAATTCTCCAAGCATGTTAGAAAATGTAGTAAAATATTATCTATTATTGAAAAGCTCATTTTTCATTATTTGAATTATTTAGAACACTAGACTGGATATGGAATTATATGTGTATCCATATTTAAACATATTTTAGAAAGTATTTTAATAACTAAATTAATTTTCAGTGCTTTCTTTGAGTCTCATTTCTGTATCTTTGATCACAATTTGACTACTTTGGTTTATGTGAATGAATTTTATTTCCATGTAGGTTAAACTTTCTATTGCAGAACTTTTCATAAGAGATCCTGAATTAGTACTCAATATATACGCAACCAATATATTCATATGCCTTATTTGATGCAGTGTGTAATATAAACTGATTTGGTTTTTTGGAACTTGTATTACATTGTTAATACACCAGAGGTTAAATAAGAATCTTGTAGTGCTCACTTTTGTAAGGGGAAAATGTTTTTATGATTGGAATAATTATTCTGGTTGGTTTTAAATCTGAATTTTTCCATCTTGAGTTGAAAATAAACCTTTATAGTATAGACAATTAATCAACATTCTGTCTAGCTCATGAATTAATGAGGGTCATTCATCATCAGAAAATTGCTTATGTAAAGGGCCAGAATGCAATACCTTCAGGACTTAGGGCTGTTTACTACTACGGTAGGTGCTCTAAGTTCTTGAGTTATTGTGTCTGCTTGTTGGTAGTTTCTCCATTTTTTCTTTTTCAATCTGCTATCACTTCCTTCATTTTGTTATTATCAGTGTATCTATTTCTAGAAATTTTTACCGACGCTGTAAAGCAAAGTAAACTTGTTAGCATTGAGTTTAAAGCAAGAGTAAAAATACTCTGAGTGAAAGTCCAGGAGGCTAGCTCCAAGTCAAATGCTTACACTCTAGTTCAGGCACTTAGTGGAATATATTTTGCTTGTACTATAACTTCTCCCCTTGTTCCTTTACTCTTTTTTTTTTTTTTTTAACAGTTTACACAATTATTTAAAATCATTTTTTATTTTCAATTACAATTGACATACATCATTACATTAGTTTCCGGTGTACACCCCAGTGACCACACATTACATAACTCAATAGGTGATCACCCGAATAAATCGTGCACCCATCCAGCACCACACTTAGATATTAGAATATTATTGACTATATTCTCTATGCTGTACTTTACATCCCCATGACTATTCTGTAACAACCAAGTCCTTTACTCTTTTATCTGTTAATCCTCACCTGAGGATATTTTTTCCATTGATTTTTATTTTTTTTATTTTTTAGAGAGACTGGGAGGGAGGAAGAGAGGGGGAGAGAGAGAGAGATACATCAATGTGAGAAACACATTTATTGCTTGCCTCCCACACATGCCCTGACCAGGGCTAGGGATCGAACCTGCAACCCAGGTTCGTGCCCCTGACCATGAATTGAACCCTTTACTCTTTGGAGCTTGGGTTGATGCTCTAACCACTTAGAAACACTGCCCAGGGCACCTTTACTCTTGAATGTGTTCCAGAGAGTTGAGGTTGCTGGCAAAATGACTCCTAGCTTACTTAATGTTCATAATACATAATTCCTGTCAGATTGTCAGAATTCTTTTAAGTATAGTTCACCTATAAAAATAAATAAGATACATGTTATAAGCTGTAAGATGCTCCATTCCTTTATCTTCACATAAAAAATATATTTAAAAGGACTCATTTAAAGAAAACTAACCTCCACTGTGAGATTATTTGTCTCAGAGAATTGATGAATGCCTTCTTAAGTCATGCCTTCTTCAGGACTAAAGTTGCTATAACAAAGATATTAGTGTTCTTTCCTGGGATTCTCCCTTGCTAACATCCCTCTATTCCCAGAAACCTTCTATTTACAACAAAAACTAGTTTTTCTTGAGTTGGCTTATCTCTCCACTTGAAAAGAGTTACTTTTATTTAAGTCATCTTAATTCAAGTTTCAACTAAGTACCAAATTAATTTCCAAAAATTTACACTTGACCTATATATATATCAGTTCAATAATTTTCTTTGCCTTAATGAACAGGTCAGTTCACATGCATCTACATATGAAGTATTTTAGGTATTTTATTGTCACCTGTATTATTCAGGTTTAGAAAAGAGCTTTACCTGAAATACTGGCTAATTGGAACTTTTTGGTTTATCAGTTATTAGTCTCAATACTACCATATCAACATGGTAAAAATTAGGTCAGTTAATAGCACCTGTGAAACCACCTTAAGATGCAAACTTTTGAAGTTTTCCTGTGAGTAAAAGATATTTTTTTTCTTTTAAGAGAACTAATTTTTATTGTAAAAATTACAGCTAGCAAAAGTAAGAAAGTAGAAATCACCCATAGTTTTATCACTCCAAGTAAATCATCATTAATAACTTGAGATTTTATATATATATATATATAATCTGGATATATATATATGACTGGATATATTTAATGGTCTTTGTATTAGTCAACATACTTTTATAATTTTACATAAAGTTCGTAAGTGCTATTTGATGATATCATAATTTTTTCATAAGGAAAGTATATAAAATTATTTTTTTACAGACTCTGGTTGACACTTTTCAAAATATTGGTCACACCAATCTTGCTGATTTCATTGCTGGATTACTCACCATTATCATCTGTATGGCAGTTAAGGAATTAAATGATCGCTTTAAACACAAAATCCCAGTCCCTATTCCTATTGAAGTAATTGTGGTAAGTAGAATATGTAATTAGAAAATTCAGCATTAATTAGTTTGAAAATAAAGGAATTGCTAAAACAAATGGATTTTTTTTTTAAAAAAAACAACCTCTTTTGTTTTATTTCAGACAATAATTGCTACTGCCATTTCATATGGAGCCAACCTGGAAAAAAATTACAATGCTGGTATTGTTAAATCCATCCCAAGGGGGTGAGTATGGCATTCCTCTTAAGCAATACTAATATATTAAGTCAGTACTTTCTATTTAAATGAAACCTTTTATTACAAGTTTCATTTCATTGGTGCTCCTTCAATAGTACTATTTGTGTATGATCTTAAAGAAACACCCATTTGTGCAAATTATCAGGTAAACAGTATATATGTAGGTAAAGTTCAATCCATTTGTTTAAAAACAGCCTGAATTATTCTCTCTCTTTGTCCTTCATTTTCTTAAAAAGTGGCAAGATATGTACAGTTACCACCAGTCTCCTGATTTAAACTCATAGGTATAATTACAATATAATATAAATAGAATCATGGATAGTAACTTTTTTTTTGCACTGAGAACAATCTGCTTAAGGAATTGGGGACACCTGATCTAAATTTACCATTTCCTTTAATCAGTCTTAGGTAATGATTATGTCATTTGTTCCTCTAAATAAAATGCATAACCTGCAAAGGGAGTTTTATATATACTTGGTAGTTCGGTGAATTAGAAAAGTAAAGAACTAAGGTCTTTTGTCCATCTCTGACACTATCTATTTCTGTGGCCCTGGGAGGGTTCTCCTATAAAACAAGGGTAATGACAACTGCTGAAACTTCAACTCGAGTTTGTTGTGAAACGCTAATGAGATCTCTCATAAAATTTGCAGAGTGGACCAAGTGCTTTACACTAAAATTTTATCATATGGCATTTAAAAAGAAGCCCAAATATTTATTAGATTTGTAACATTAACTTACAGCATTTGTGACTAGACTTGCTATTATATAACCACTAAGTACTAGTTCCCCTCCCCCATTAACACTAGCTGAGGGACCTTGTACCAATCTTTGTGTCTCCATGCTCTTAATAGAAACTGCTCGGGCTAGCTGAGTCCCAGTGCTTATTCCATAGGGAACAAGTTGCCTTTTCATTTGCTCAATCTCATGATTTCTTCTAATATCTGTTCAAAAGATATCTGAAAAATTACAACTGGCTACATGTGGCTTAATTAACACACTATCCACTCTAATGTTTCTCCAAACTTACCTTTTTGTAAGAATCACAAGACTTTTGTTAACACAGATTCCTGGTTCCCACCCCAAACCTATTAAATCAGGCTTTCCAGAGGAGGGGCCTCAGAATTAATATTTTTCAAAGGTGCTTCAAGTGATTCTTATGACCAGGTATATTTGGGAAGCTCTATCTTAGAGTATCAACATTTTGATAGTAAATCCTCGTGCCGAAAGGAATTAAATAAAAGACACAGTGTGGCTACTTCAATTACAGCATTTTCACCAGAACAATTAAGATTATTTGACTAGTTAAAAACAACTACATAAAAACATATTTTAGATCCCTTTTGGTGGACTTCCCAAGATGCAACACTTAGGGGGTGTCCACAAAAAATGCCTTGCCCCATAAATTCATGTTTCATTAATTGATATGGGGAACTCATTTCTGCTGCCCTAAATTATCCTTTCCTACCCTATCCAGAGCTTTCCTGGTTGTTCTCCTCCTGAAAATGAATCTCTAGTCTCTTGCGCTTGGGTTTAGTCAAGATGACTCCTCTGACAGACCACCTGGTGTGATTCGTTAGGTAACCTAACCTGCCTGGCCCCAGGACTACAAGCTCCTCCACAAGGCAGTGAGCCCATTTGTCTTAGCTGTGTCTTCCTAGCATAGTACCTATCTCATAATAGAATCCCAGAAAAGATGTGTTAAAGGAATAAAATACCCAAGCCTATACCATTATAAACAAGCCACAAGAAAGGACTTAGTTGCCTGATCTAATGTGATTGCACAGAAACAAGTCTAAAGACATTAACAAAACTGAAAAAGAAAGGGTGGAATGAAGAGATTGGAAAACAACAAAAATGATAGAGTGTTAAAGTGAGTATGATGTGAAAACAAGAGGATCAAAGAGAAAAGTCAGGCTGGCCCACCTTTCCATGCAGGCCCCCTTCAATCCTCCAATAAGGGAGTAAAAGTGAGGTCACTGTTGACAATTTCCTTTCATCCTGTTGAGGCTTAATACCTTATGTTAGGATCACTTGGTCCCCAATAAATCCATATAAGAAACTTATGTCTATAAGAATCTTATTTCTACTTTACCACATCCCTCTAATTATAGTGGGGAAATGTAACTTCCTGTTAAAGGAACTTCAGGCATAATGAGATTGGTAGGTGAGATTTTTTTTCTAGGACCTCTGGAATTACACCATATGAGTAGTTATCAAGATCTAGGTCCATGAAGGTCATCAACCAAATTTTTATATTTGGAAACAACCACATGATTATAAATTTGTAGGTTTTTTCTTTATATGGTTTGTAGAATTGCTCTGGTTTTGTAAAACAGTAGTTGTTTGACCCCACCACGATCATTGGGATATGTTAGTCATTATAACCATGAAGCATTCTGATAATTACATAAATTGAATCTTTTTTGAACTCAAGAAGATTTTAAATATTATAGCTCTTAAGATATGGGTTTTCCACATTGTTCTTTTAGCATCTTATATTCTTTGTTTCTTCAGTAAACCTTACATCTCTTCATACAGGGTAAATCTCATTTTGTGGCTAGTATATACCTTTTAAATTCGAAGATCTTTATGATGAAATCATATAAGGAGAGACACAAATGTGTGAAAGAGCATGGCATAAGATTGTATGATATTAAAGAACTAACAATGACAGGTTTATTCATGTTAGAGGTACAGATAAGGCAGCATTTATAGACTCTCAATAGGGGACAAAGAAATCAGCCAATGAGATTACACCAACCTCTGACTAAAAATTATAAAAGAGGATGCTACCACTTATGCTCGTATACTTCTGCCCTCTTGGATCACATATTTTCTTGTCTAATTTGTTGGTAGTTTGATTAGCATTTGGTAAGGTGGGAAAAAAGAATTACAGTCAAGTATTCACAGCACTTTTCCACTAGGTTCTTGCCTCCTGCACTGCCACCTGTGAAGTTATTTTCTGAGATGCTGACTGCATCGTTTTCCATTGCTGTGGTGGCTTATGCTATTGCAGTGTCTGTAGGAAAAGTATACGCCATCAAATATGATTACACCATTGATGGGAACCAGGTATGGTCACCCTTTTGCTGAACTGGTTTTCTACGGCTGAAAGTAAGAAAAATAAATAAATGGGAAAGATTTTGTTGTCTGCTAAAGAAGAGATTGGGTTCATCCACTAGTCCTTATTGAGTTAATTTCCCTCTTATGTGTGCTAATTTGAAATTACTTAAAAATATACACACTGCATCACTTCAGTTGAAGTAATCAGAATGTTGAAAGAGTTAATTCTGTCAGGTCTTAAATATCATTCAAAGTTAACATATTAGGTCAGAATAAGAATTCTTCATGTAATCCCACATCTCCTGGTAATTTTTTTTAATGGTGGCTATAATATGGCAAATAATGCAACCAATACTTTTAGTAATAGTTGTGGCCACTTTAAATTGAGGTGGTTCACTGTTAATTAATGTACACAGGACAATTTTTATAGGCATCTGATACATTGCCAGGTGAGCTCACAAATCCTCAGTTATGGTATGTTTCTGAAAACACAGCATAGCAATTACAGCAGTTAAATGATTAGTAATCAAGCAGAAGAATAGCTCTCCTAGTCATAATATGCTTCATAGCAAATATTCATCCACAGAAATAACACTTTATGTGAGAGCAGAAAAATGTTTTATGTGAGAGTTATAGTAGATATGCCACTTACCAGGAAATGAAATAAGCATTTTAGCAAAACATCAATTATCATTCCTCATCAACCTTAAAAATGATTGAGAGCAGTGAGGCCTCTTTTAGGCTCTAAGGACCCCAAACTCCTGATGTTTTTCAGGACTCTAAGCACCCTTTATGGCAAAAATTAAATTGGGACTATCAGGCAGGGTGGATTTGGGAGTTGCTTTCTTAATGTTCTTCCTTAAACACTTGGCGAGGGCCTTGAAAAAATTATATTTGTAGCACCATTGTCATTCAATCTCTCCCTTAGGAATTCATTGCCTTTGGGATCAGCAACATCTTCTCCGGGTTTTTCTCTTGTTTTGTGGCTACCACCGCCCTGTCCCGCACTGCTGTCCAGGAGAGCACTGGGGGAAAAACACAGGTAGGGAACTACAGCGTGGTAATATCCATCCACTGCAAATAATGAGTTAGAACCGTAGCTCAAGAAGGCTTGCACAAGAACTGAGCAGAACAATTAGCCTTTGAGGAGAGAGAGATGTGCTTCCTGATCTGATTACACAGGCCGCCTTGTTCACCCCCTCACCAAAAACCTTTTAAACAACAGCAATTGTGGTTTTCTGAGGTAGTAATTCTCAAATCTCTTTGAGTCAGTGCTGGGCTGGCAGATAGTTACACTTACCTGCTTTTCAATAACAATTGACAAAGGACCAGTAAAGAAGAATGCTGATTCTTATCAATGTGTTATCTGGAGATAGAGAGGGCCTAGTAAAAGCACATTCATACTGAGTTATTATATTTTCAGAAAAATTAAAAGCACTTATTTACATTTCCTCTACAAGGATCTGGAACTTCCTCCAGAGGCCTTTGGTCCCACAGAACAACAGTTTGCTAGCCAAGAATATTTTTGTTGAAACATTTTGACATTTCTTCCTAAGATTTTTCCCCCTGAACTTCCTAGTGTAGGTTTAATCTTCCCTTTTTATGTGTTCTTAAGTTGTTGTCTGCACAAGGTCACCTCAAAACCTGCAGCCCAGTTCATCTCTAGACAGCCCCTCCTTTAATTGTCCAGAAAACCAAGGAGTCATTCTCAAAGGCTATCCTTTCCAGTTGAACATGGAGTCAGAGATGCCAAGTCTAGTGGTCGGGGCAAGGGCAGGCTCAGGAATTGTGTTTCTGTTATGCCTGGAGGGCTTTCTTCTGCCAGCGCTGAAAGAGCTATTATTTAAGAGTAAAGAGTACATTGAGACTATAAAGGAAAAACAAATCCAAAGTGAATAGTACAACACACACATGCACACTCTCACACACATGCACACTCTCTCTCTCTCACATACACATGCACAGTCTTCAAATAGGGTTTATTAAGGCAGAGACACTATAAATAAGTATAAAAGAATAGCTGAGAAAACTAATGATTCCAGTAGTGGCTTGCCCAGGGAGGGCTTTAATTGTGCATATGATGCTCCTTTCCCATTTATAATGGGTCTTTGTGACAGGATTGGAAGAATGGGCCTCTTCTAGTTTCTTGGCTTCTACTGAACAAAAATTGAAGTTTTATCATTTTTATTTGTAAAATTGAGCAAACATTTCTAGCTGTGAGGAAGTAAGTAAAACAAGACAGCCCATACCAGGGAGTATAACCAGAGACCTGCAGTCAAAGGGGAAGAGGTCAGAGGTGATTTCCAAAGCTACACCCCATGTTCAGTGGGCAGCTGTCAGCAGCAAGTTTCTGCTGCTTTCATTTGGGATGGGGCATTGACAAGCTCTCCAGGTCACATGACTGTAAGCAGGTACAGGCAGATCCCCAACTGTTGATGTTCAATGTCCTGCTGTTACCTCCAGATTCAAATGAGACACAGGCTGCCTGCCTAGTAAGAATGCCCATGTAAAATGATTCCTTGGCAGAAGGTTTGGGGATAATGGTGTTTTGGTAAGCTAATACCCCTCTGCCACACACTGGTGTGTGTTACATTTAGAAGTGAAGGATGCCAGGATTTCAGTATTGAAGAATGAAACAAGCATAGAAACGCCTTGATATTTAATTACTGAAATGTATATTAAGTCCTGGGGTTAAAAGTCTAAATGCCTGGACTGAAACCCAGGGACTCATGACCAAATAAACCGGTAAGTCTCATGTTTTCTTTAAAGTTGGAGCCTCAGTTTCAGCATCTATACAATGGGCATAATAATTGTATCCACCTCATAGGGATGTTGTGAGGATTAAATGACCAAATGCTTAAAAAGTCCTGGAACATATGTACTTGTAAATGCTCATGGTTCCAGTCATTAACTCCTCAAGATAAGAACAGTGTCTTAGTACCTATGATACATATTTTATACCTGCCACAGAAAAAGCACCCAGCATATATTTGCTGAATGAATGAACAGAAGAATGAGTGTTAGTGACATTAACTGTTTCAGCACATCTACAGATTGTAGAAAAGCTCAACATTGCAACCTGTTCTGTCCCCCTCATCTGAATTCCTACTGATTCATGAAAAAGGAATTCTAATTACAAACTGTTCTCTAGCTCTGATTACCCTCTCACTTAACAGAATAATGAATTTTCTAGTAATTGAATCTGCTCATAGATACAAAATCTACAGCATTTCCCACAAACCAGCCTCAATTAAATTAAGTACAGGTAATGGGCTCCCTCACAAATTTGAATATAGTAACCAAAATAAGTCTTGATCCCCATAATTAGAGGCTTATTGTTATATATACTTGGTGAGTAGGTGGCCACCCACCTGGCATGAGGGGCAGCTGGCTCCAGGCCCTGTCCCCTAATCTCCATATCTCTCACCAATTCACAGAGCCCTACATCCACAGTGAGATGCAAGTGGCTCATGATAGACAATAAATATTGGTTAAGTAACTGCATGAAAAAAAGGGAAAAAAATAAGGGAGGACGGGGGGGGGGGATATTAGCCTCTTTGCTTCGGAGGTAAGAAAGCTCACCAAGGTGCTGGCACTCTGGAGGTGTGGCGCTGGGCGGTAGCAGGAGGCCTAGGAAAGGGATGTGGGTGCACAAAGGAAACTTTTTAGTGCGTCATACACACGAGACCGCCTCGGCTGACCTAGCCGTCCTCTGAACATGAGTGACCAGTTTGCTAGCTGAAGTGAATGAGTATGACGATGAAATTTACTTAAGTTTTGTACCTGTCTCCTTTAACTCAAACATCTTACACTCGGCAGTACTTGTGCCCAGTGCAGCCCTTCCTGTTGCTTCCTCTCTGATTGCTTTGCTTCTGGTTCCCTGTCTCCTTTTCTCCTTTGTTTCAGAGCTTCTAGTCTTCACCTCGGCCATGCCCCAGCTGAACAGAGAATTCATTGGTCATCTGATTAAACCAGAGAATAGTCCCCACCCCCTCAGCCTTTCTCCTAACTATTTATGGATCTTAGGAGAGATTTTTTTTGCCAGCAAAGGTAAAGTTTCTGAAGCTTTCTTTACCCTGCTACTGCCCATCATCACTTGGGCTACCAGGTTGCAAAGTTCTGAGCCTGCATCTGGGGAACTGTTAGAGGAAGCAGGAGACATGGCCCCACTTCTCAGTAGGCTCATGTGGCATGTTGAGTTTGCAATAAGACTGGCAAATTTATTTTGTCTGAGACTTTGGTAGCAAAGATGTGCTACAAGTACAAAGTGTTATCAGAATTGTTGTTACGGCTGCTAATTCAATAATGCAGGAGAATCAGTAAATTCCCTAAGAACTTACTTCCCTAAAACAGTACCATGATCTGTTGTTGGGGAGGAGGGATGATCCATGTTTCTTGGTAGGGCAAATAATTAATTAGAAGTTTGGCCTCCTGAATTGACATCCAAACTAGAGGTCTCATATATCCAGATGAAATCCAGATCAAACTAGCTTTCCTTTAGCAGACTTAGTCTCCACATTTTCTTTAATTTATCTGCTATAGCTACTACATATATGGTTTCCATTTTTCTTCATTTTTTTGTGTTTGTTTTTTTTTAAGTTTTAGCAAGTAATTCTTATTTCTCTCAACAGTATCTAGCAGAAGGGGGGAGGTCAGGAAGCATCAAGTGCACCTGTGAACGGGCTCTCTGATGCACACACCCAGCACGCTGGGAGGCGTGAGGGAGAAGGAAGAACTCTGTTCATGGGAGCTGTGTGTCTCTTTCAGATTGCCGGCATCATCTCGGCTGGGGTTGTGATGATTGCCATAGTTGCCTTGGGGAAGCTGCTGGAGCCCCTGCAGAAGGTATAACTCTGCTTCTCAGCACATTGATTGCATACTTTCTCTGCCACCAGAGAAATAACAGGAGATTTATAAATCATCACATGGAGAACCATTCCTCTCAATAACACAGCCTTCCCTTTCTCTCTTGGCAGTCGGTCTTGGCAGCTGTTGTAATTGCCAACCTGAAAGGGATGTTTATGCAGGTGTGTGACGTTCCTCGTCTATGGAGGCAGAACAAGATTGACGCTGTAAGTCACCCATTTTTCTCTCAAATAAGATTGGGTTCTTAAATAAAAAATAGAAAAAGATTTGGTTCTTATTTGCTTCCTGCCATCATTATGTTCCCTTTTCTCCTAAATCTTGCATTTTGGGAGCCCAAGGGCAGAAATTAAACATGTGTAGATAAGCCAAAGTTTTGAAGTCTTCCATGTGAACTGTATTGATGAAGGTCTTGTATCTCTGGGAAGATCCATTTTCGGCAAGAATCCCATAGAGCTCATTCATATACTGTTTGCCTTCTAAGGCCCAAAGACAAACTAACAAACAAACAAACAACAAAAAAAACCACACATCTAATTTAGAAGGAAAAACAAAACACAAAGCAAAGCGAAAACAAAGTAAAAATACAAAAACCCATGCTGATTATAATTCTGACCAAAGTAACCTTTACAACTGTTCTGAGGAGTGATAAAAACTAGAAACTAAATCCTTTACAGTTACGTTCTAATTTAAACCAGAACAGATGAAAGGAATGAGAAAACGTCCTATATATTGATACAGAAAGATCTCCAAAACAAATTAAGTAAAAAAATGACCAGTGCTGAATAGAAGTGTGTATAATACACTAAAAGATGAAAGAATGAAACATTCATTGTAGTCACATTTACTTGTATTTATAAAAAGACATGCTGGTGAAAAGTGTGCATGTGTATAGTTATGTTCACACACACACAGACACTCAGAGAGAGAAATAAGAAGATATAAATAAGGAGGGAAGATAGGAATGAGTGAAGAGGGGAGAGAGCTGCAAGCAAGGTTTATGTTGTACACCCTTTTTATATTAATTCCATTTTGAACATGTTAATATATTACCTATTCAAAAATTAAATAAAAAATATTTAAATAGGACAGTTGGTCTATATTGGGAATGCAAATTTCTGCTTCCACTTAAATATGAAATGAACTTAGAATATTTTTTAAAAGCTGTACAATTGACCCTTGAACAATGTGAGGGTTGGGCCACTGACCCCCTGCACAGTCAAAATTCCACATATAACTTTTGACTTGACAAAAACTTAACTACTAATAGCTTACTGTTGACCAGCATTACCAATAACATAAATAGTTGATTAATACATATTTTGTATGCTATATGTTTTATATATGCATCCTTACAATAAAGTAAGCTAGAGAAAAGAAAATGTTATGAATAAAATCATAAGGAAAATAAATTTACAGTTCTTACTGAAAAAATCCACATATAAGTGGACCCATGCAGTTCAACCTGTGTTGTTCAAAGGTCGACTGTAATTTGTTCATGGACAATTGATCTTATTATTTTTATAGGTAATCTCTCACCTGATGGTACATGATAAATTAATATAATTCTTTTTATTTCTATTTTTTCTAGGTTATCTGGGTGTTTACATGCATAGTGTCCATCATTCTGGGGCTGGACCTTGGTTTACTAGCTGGCCTTATATTTGGATTACTGACTGTGGTTCTGAGAGTTCAGTTGTGAGTAATATAAGACCCAGGCTACCTATAAACAGAACAACACACCCTGAGATTTCTTACACTATTTTTATAAATATAGTAAAACGACTCCCTTTCATAATAGTTACTATACATTATGTGCTTCTATGAGTTAAGCACATAGTGAGTGCTTTACACACATTATCATATTTAATTTTCAAAAAAATCCTGTGAAAAGTTATATTATTTTCATTCTATAGGTAAGAAAATTGAAGCTCAGCAAGGTTAAGAACCTTCCTTAAGATCACATAGCTAGTAAGAGGGAAAACCAGGATATGAACCCAGACATATCTCACCCCAAAATCTATACACTTAGCCTCAAGCTCTAACACTGGTGCTCTCCTCCTAGCCATGGTAAGACCAAAAGATATATGATTCAGCAAAAGACTGAGATTGCTTTGCAGTTTCCTTTTAAAATGAGATGAAGTTTGTGAGGTACTAAGCCCAAGACTCAGGACAGAATAGTTATTACATATATTTTAACTCATTTCTTTTGAAGCTAGTAACCCAGAAGTTATGTAACCCAGAACAGGAGACTTTAAAAGCTAATTGCCACCAAAATTTATTCAAATCTATACCCAATAAGCCACACAATTATATGAAGAAAATATAATTAGATCATCGTCAGAGTGAAAGCAGCAAAGACACAGTTTAATGGAAAATCATTTGTGAGGCCACCTGAGGGATATGATTTTTTAAAAAAAATATGTCTTTACTGATTTTAAAGAGAGGAAGGGAGAGGGAGAGATAGAAACATCAGTGATGAGAGAGGCATTGATCAGCTGCCTCCTCCACACTTCGCACTGGGGATCAAGACTGCAACCCGGGCATGTGCCCTGACAGGAAATCAAACTGTGATCTCCTGGATCCTAGGTCGATGCTCAACCACTGAGTTACACTGGCTGTGCTGAAAGGGTATGATTTTTGTTGGTTTTGTTTCGACTTTTGAGAGGCTTCTTGTTCTACGAAATTGTCTGAACAGAGAGGGAAACAGAGCTTCTCTCCTTCCTCCAATTTTATCTTTCTAGACTTTTGGCCCCTTCTCTGCCTGTGCTTGGGGAGTGAAGGAATAAAAAACCTGGAAAAGCATCACCACCAACGTCTTCAGTTTAGCATAAATCCACCTTTCCTGTTCCATCAACCAGTTCTCTCCCTTCTTTCCTCCCCTGGCATGTTGGAACCTACAAAAGGCTTGTGTTTACTGCCTTGGCACCCTTACCGGTGGCCAAGGGCCCCAAAGATTTCACAAGCTCCCAAAGTGCCCAGCTTGCTTCTGTGTAATAACTCAGGAGCTGCCCTTAAAAGAGGCTCCTCTCGTGCTCTGTATGCCTCAGCATTTACTTTCCTGTGTGGGTGTGGTTGGGAGAGTTTTGTGGAGAGAGACTATATAGTTTATGAGCTTTATGTTAAAAATCAGTACAGCACAGTAAGCCGAGGAGAAATTGGTGGCACATCTTAGCTGCTGAGATTAATTATTTAGGCTTTTAGCCAACAGAAAGCAGTATCCTCCACAGTATTTAATTTCTAGTAATTATAAGGCTGATCCAGAGAGCACATTGCTGAAAGAACCCCAAATAGAAACTCTTTCTTTAGGAATTGTATTTAGCATATGTCTCTAGTCACACTTGAAGATTCATGGAATTTATTTGATTGCAGCAGGAACAGGAAATGGGAAGGGCTTATTTCTGGTCCTCCCAGGCTCCTATTTCTATAAAATGAGACTAATTTGATCACTGCAGACTCTCCATACTTCATCAGAAAATTGCGATAACTCACAAGTAAGTTCCAAGCCCTGGCACTGTTCCAGGCACTGAAGACCAATGGGGTAGGTAAGGATAGGGGCTGGCTGCTCCTGAACCCTGGGCCTTTTCAAGCTTCTCTGATTCTCAGTTTGCTCAGCAAAGAAAATGAGAATAATACTGCTGACCTTTCAGGGTTATGGTGGGACTTCAGTAAGATGTAACAGGTGTGAATGCTCTTTGCTTGTCCTATAAAGTCGGATGCTCATTATTTCTCTCAGCCACCAGAAAAGAGCCACGGTTCCTCCTCGTCCGACTGCACACAAACACCAGCTGATCACTTCAGAGTTAGCTACAGGAGCAGGCCGTCTGCAATAGCGACAGTCCAAAAATATCAGAAGGATGGGCTCTTTAGTAGCTTTTATTTCTTCTAACTTTTTATTCCAAAACATGCCTGTTCTAAAAAATCCTGACCTTAATTTTTCTTTTAGTCCCTCCTGGAACGGTCTTGGAAGCATCCCTACCACAGACATCTACAAAAGTACCAAGAACTACAAAAATGTGAGTGCCTTTGTGAAACATTTGCTAGGCTTGGTTTGCTAGCCTGGATTTTCAGGGCTTGCATATTTCTCTTCTAGTATGCTAGGGACAAGGTGGGCAAAGATGGGGGGCTTCTGTCAGGAAATTCCAGAAGTCCACTGGGGTGTCATTAAAACTTTGGACTCTTTGTGCCCTGTGATATCCATGGTTCACATGAATGGTCTTGGAAGCTAGTTGAATGTCATTTTAATGTCAAACCATTGTAAGAAGAATTTTTAAAAATAAGCAATTCAGTTATTTCCAGAAGTTGAATCAAATTCTATTTCTCTGGATAAAAGGGGTCAAAAGGTATAAATTTCTAGTTATAAAATCAATAAGTCCTGGGGCTGTAATGTGCAGCATGGTGACTGTAGTTAATAACACTGTATTACATATTAGAAAGTTGCTAAGAAAATAGGTCTTAAAGATTCTCATCACAAGGAAAACGTTGTAATTATGTATGGTGACAGATGCTAACTAGACTTACAGTGATGATCATTAACAATATATACAAATACCAAATTAGGGTGTATACCTGAAACTAATATAATGTTATATGTGAATTATACCTCAACAAAAAAATGTGGACAGAGCCTCAGAAACCTCTAGAATAAAATAAAACAGATTGACATATATAATGAGATTCCCAAAAGAGGAGGAAAGAGAAAAAAGGCAGACACAATATTTGAATAAATATCAAAACTTCCCAAAAGTTGATGAAAAACATCACATACAAATCCAAAATGCCCACCAAACCCAATTTCTGTAAACACAAAGGTCCACACACCTCGGCACAGTACAGTGACACTGCTGAGGCATTAAAAAGTTTAAAGCATCAAGAGGAAGAGAAAAATTATATTTCTCTGCTATGTTTCCGTATCTTCTATAAAATTGTTTAAAATCCCTGAAAGAATTTTTTCATTCATTTCTAGTAAGAGACTTTCATGTTCTCTGTCACCAAGAACCTATTTGACATTGTGCTCTATCCTTGGAATTGAAAGGAATAATATAAAATACAGGAAATAAAAAACAAAGAAAATAAACATCTTACCATTGGGTTTGTAGTTCCTGCAGATAAGAGTGCTTAGCTGCTGGCAGGGAAAACAAAGATGAAAAATCAGAGAAAGGAAATGAACACAACACTAATTTAGCAAAAAAAGTTTTTTTAAAAATTTAAAATTAAAAAATGTGAACCCTAGGAAGTTGTACTCTAATTTTTACCTTAACATTAAAAAAAAATTGGACACTGAATCTGGATTCCACAACCTACTTCAGTTTTGTTGAGCCAAGTGCCATTAAGAGTTAAAAATGATTCTAGAGAACCTCTTGGCTTTGGGTTCTGAGTTCTGAATCCTAGGCTCTGGCTTGCAGAGACCTTGCCCAAGTCACTTAACTCTCAGGGCTTCCGTTTTCGTCTCTGACGCCGCTGGACTAAAATTGTTAAGATTCCTAAAGACTGGACTAGCCTGTGATTCTGTGGGTTTTAGTTTTGGTCTGGCCACTCTATGTTGGGGTAAAAACAAGCAAATGATATCACAGCCCTAGCTGGGTGGCTCAGTTGGTTGGAGCATCATTCGGTGTGCTAAAAGATTGCGGGTTCGATTTCCAGTCAGGGCACATACCTGGGTTATAGGTTTGATCCCTGGTCGGGAAGCAACCGATCGATGTTTCTCTCTCACATCAATGTCTCTCTCTCTCTCTCTCTTCCTCTCATTAAAAGAAAAAAAATCAGTGAACATATCCTCAGGTGAGGATTTCTTTTTTTTTTTAAATGACATCATAAGCCTCAGCTCCTGCAGATTCCCTTGATTTTGCTACTTTTTATTTTATTTTAAAAGAATGTGGGGGAAAAGATGGGGCAGTAGTATGAACTTAAGGCAACTCATGTCATTGTCCTGAGCCCTTTTTTTCATCTGGAAATCAGAGAGTTGAATAATTGCTTTTGAAGGCCCTTTCTATCATGACCTTCTGTAAGACTGTGGAGGTTCAGGAGTTCGGGTAAACTATTGCCTCCCAACTGGGATGAGGATCCTATTTAAGGAAAGTTGAGTGCTGCTACCCAGCTCCTCTGAGCAATTATAACTCAGCTTCTAGATGAATAGCCAGAAATTTAATTGATTATTTGAGGCCTGAAATTATTTAATCTCAGACAATTTTTTTTTTTTTTAATGCTAGATTGAAGAACCTGAAGGAATGAAGATTCTTAGGTTTTCTAGTCCTATTTTTTATGGCAACGTCGATGGTTTTAAAAAATGTATCAAGTCTACAGTAAGTATTTTATCCCTAGAAATTTGGTTGCTAAGCTCCTTTAAAACTTCATTCATTCTACAGGTATTTATTGGACTCAAACCGGACATAAGGCCCTATACCCTGTTCCCTTTGTACATGACATCAAAAATTATAACATAACATTCTTGCACTCAAATAACTTACACTCTATTGGGGATTGGAAAAAAACAGATAACACAGATGTTAAAATCCAGGTAGCAGTGACTATGCTGGACAAAAACACTAGAGTTGTCTCCAGGCAGAATTGGAGCAAGTTCCAAATGAATAATATAGACAGTACATGTTAAGAGTTCACAGAAGGGGGTGATCCATGTTAATTGGAACTCATTGGGCTTTGTGTGACTGAGGGCAGAAGGATGGAGATTGTATCAGGTGTTTGGGAACTTCGAGAACTGAGAGGAAAAGGTGGGAACATTGAGGGGAGGGTTGCCCAATAAAGGGTTAGAAAGTATAAGTGGAACATGGAAGCAGGAAATTCTGGTCTTGAATTCCATGCTATGCTTCAAAGTTAGGTTTTATCTCTAGATCAGTGTTTTACTATGTGAGTTCTAGGTGAACTGCTGGTTCAGGGGAACATTCATAGATTTTGCAATAACAAAAGGGTTCTTTAATGTCAAGGAAATTTGGAAAACACAGATTTAAAGCTAAAGAAGGTTTTTTTTGTGTGTGTTGTGTTTTGTTTGTTTTTTGGCTCTTTTGTTTTCTAGTGTCTTGGAGTCTTTGATATGCCATTGAGTCTCTGGGTGGGTGGTGTAGATGGCCAGTAGTGGAAACCTCAAGAATTTCTTATTTGGCAGAATGTCTCAAGTAATAATACCACTAGAGAAATAACCTTTCCAGATAACAATTGCCATTAATGAGCATTAGGAACCAGATGTTTTAAGTAACTTGACATTTATTTCCAAAGGTTGGATTTGATGCCATTAGAGTGTATAATAAGAGGCTGAAAGCACTGAGGAAAATACAGAAACTCATCAAAAAAGGGCAATTAAGAGCAACAAAGGTGAGGCAACATCTTACTTTCCCCTCTTAAATTCTTTGCTTTCTCAGATGAAAATGAAAGCAATTAGATTGCCTAAAATTAAATCTACCCCCTTTGGTACCCTGATGTGTGCAAGCAGATAACATACATGTGTCAGGGAACACCTGAGTTGTTCTTATAGGCAAGAAGAAATGGGAGGAAATAAAATGGAATCAGCAGAAAAAAACACAGGGTGTGAGTTCTTTTTCCATCATGAAATAAACCTTGTTTTTACTGAAAGGAACAAAATAATTCAATTCAATGCCATAAAATTATAATAGAAGACAGTAAATTCATAAACTTTTAGAGTACTTAACTTTTTATTTTCCTGCCAATGTATCTCTTGGCCAATTCCACAATCTTCCAGAAGTGAAGTTTCCTGCCTCCTCTGTGTTTCCATTTTTCTTCCTAGAGAACATCAAAATTTAGACTGAGGTGAATTTCATTCCTTATGAGTTCTTCCCCTCAATGTTCTTCTTACCAAGGAAGTTTGTAGGATTTTTGAATAATTTGAAATAAGTTGTTGAAAGACATCCCAAATCATTGGCAATTAAGTTGGCAGTATTTTCTTTGTTTAGAATGGCATTATAAGTGACGTTGGTTCATCAAATAATGCTTTCGAGCCTGATGAAGATATTGAAGATCCAGAAGAACTTGATATCCCAACCAAGGAAATAGAGATTCAAGTGGATTGGAATTCTGAGATTCCAGTGAAAGTGAATGTTCCAAAAGTGCCAATCCACAGCCTCGTGCTTGATTGTGGAGCTGTATCTTTCTTGGATGTTGTTGGAGTGAGGTCACTGAGAGTGGTAAGGTTCTAAGTGTTTGAATTATAGATTAGGAGCTTTGGCAATAGTAAAACCATATGGGTTGCCCAGTCTTACAAAACGATGATTGATTGCATAGGCTCTGTACTTTTTCTAGGGGAATGCTTTTGCTATAGAGTAATATTTTAAATCATGAGCCATGGGGCCAGACTACCTGGGGTTGAATCCTAGCTCTACCATTTGCTGCAGTGTGATTATAGGCAAGTTGCTTAACCTGTCTGTACCTCAATTGTGAGGATAATGACAGTACCTATTTCCTATGGTTTTTGTGAAGATTAAATAAGCATATGTATGGTTATTTATGGTTTAGAACAGTATCTGGCACATAGCTACCTCTCAGCAAATATTAACATCTATTATGTTTCATTTTTCTGAAAATAGATAGGAAATGGGATATGAAAAGAAGGAAGTTTATGTTAAATATTATGTTTTTATTTGTCATGTGAACAGCAGCAGAATGGGGAATACCAGGTATATGTAGGACTGGAAAAGCCAGGCATTATTAAGAGGTTAGAGCAGGAAGCAGGTCAGGCATCTAGGAAGTCAAAACATTAATGAGCATGTAGGACAAGAACAGTCATGATATCAGACACCAGCTATGCAAGGTCGAGTTCATTCTTTCAAAAAATAGACCTGAAGTGCTTAATATGTGCCAAGCATTCAGTGAGGCACCAGAGAAAAATAGTGAAGTAGTCATAGTCCCTATCCTCATGGGACTAAGCAGTCTAGAGGCAAAGGCAAACATTAAGTAACCTGTTAAATAACAACTGCACTAAGTATTCCAAAGCAGGCAAACTGGGTCTCAGCTTGATCAGGAGTGTCAAGTTCAGGTGAAGTTTCAGGTAGGTATCAAGCAAGTCAGGCAGAAAAGTGAGCAGGTTAAAGACACCAAGAACCAGATGTAATAATATGAAATGGACCCTCAACTAAGTTTTAACTTTGCTGAGGCTTCTTGGCTATCTATGCAAGGGTAGGAAATCATTCCAGGGTGCAGGCACTAGGTAGGTAAGGTGGAAAACTGATCATACTTGACAAAAGAATGTGAGAAAATGCTGCAGCTTCTCAGTTCTCTTAGCAGACCTGATTATTAGCTCACTTGGGAGCACACCCTGATTCTTCATTGTGCATCTCACGCTAGGCACTGGAGCAGGTGCATTGGAGATGGTGTTGGCCAGAGGGTTTAGTGAATTACTTTTGGGAAGAGTCTTTATTTAATGCCAGAATATTTTCTACTCCTAACAGAGAATTGCTTTCAAATGTTGTAATGACAATTATGAAAAATCCAAACTTGATACTTTCATAGAAGTCTTGATCTTCTCCCCAGAGATTTCAAGTTCTCTTTTATTATTGCCCATGGATCTTACACCTTGATTTTATAAATTAAGCTTTTCATTTTGAGATAATTGTAGATTCCCATAAAGTTGTAAGAAATTATATAGAGAGGTCCTCTGTACCCCTTACCCAATTTCTCCCAGTGCTAACATCTTGCAAAACTATTGTCCAAAATCACAATCAAGATACTAAGATTGACACAGTCAAAATACAGAGCCTTTAGTTTTTAGGTCAGTTTTTACATTCACAATCTGGTGGCCACATATCTACATCCATATATCTTTCATTCAAAGATATAAACTCATACTCTTGTCTGTGATCTGCAGGGGCTGTATTAAGAAATCTCCTGTACTCCCTTTTCTTCCTTCCACAAATATTTATTAAGCACCTCTGTTGTTGAGCACTGTGCTCTTGAGCACTGGATGTTTCCACCTCTTGAGATTCAGTCTTATCATCCCTAATCATTTCATCACGGTAGGCTGAAAACCTCTGTGGTTTTCTAATAATGAACTTTCCTCAAAGTCCTGTTTAACCATGAAAGTATTGAAGTTTCTCCTGAGCAAGTAACTGAATGCTACTGAATATGGGCAGGTAAAGTTACTCAAGTTCTCCTTTTTAAATTTTTAGGTTGTCAAAGAATTCCAAAGAATTGATGTAAATGTGTACTTTGCATCGCTTCAAGGTAAATGCATATATGTACATATGTATCTATAAGACTTTCCCCTAAGCCCTTTCTCCCATCTTGGAATGTGGATACATCATGACCAAAAGCCTTAAAAATGACTTTTTATTGTGATAAAAAATGTATAACAAAATTTGCTATTTTAGTCACATTCAAGTTGCATTTAATTCAGTGGCATTAAGAACATTTACAATGTTTTGCAACCATCACAACCATCTATTTCCAAAATTTGTCATCACTATGAACAGAAACTCTACCCATTAAGCAATCAGGCTGAGGGCCAATTTGCACCATAGAGCTGGTGATGCAGTGCCAGATCAATGTGGAAACGTCCCAGGGAGAGCAGAGCTGCAGATAACTTAGATGCCTGAAAACTAGACAATCCTCCAGGATATTATTCTGTCCATGTCCGTATGAGAGTATGTGTGTAGGAAAATACTAAATGCTTAGGCTGAGTTCTCTAGAAACAAAGACTGAGATAAGGGTATTTGCGCAAGTGATTTACTGAAATAGTACACTTTGGAAAAATTCATGAAAGAGTGAAGGGAGCAAGATAGGGAAGGGGAATAAGCTGGACAAAAGACTTGCAAAAGTCTGACTTACCTAATTTCCCAGGGAGTACACAGCAGGAAGAGCACCAGAGGGCTATTCCTCCTTGAGGCAAGGGAGCCAGCTTTTTAATCCCCATGTCAGTTTGTCAGTGGCTGTAGGCCACCCTAGGGTGGGAGTGTAACCTCCCAGGCCTTTTTCAGGCGAGACAGTTCCCATTGGCCCAGGGAAGTTCTCCAAAGAAGGCCACAGCTGTGAACCATTAGCAGCCAGAATCACAACTGGAGGATGGGGACCTGGTCAGGAAACAAGGCCATCTACTACAACCAGTTATGGTATAACCATGCCATGTGCTACTGGAAAATAAACTCGGTGTAGAACAGGGCCACGTTTTGAAAATGAGAAAAAAGAATTAAAAGGAGGACCTACCAAAACTTAGTATTGGTTGATGTTACAAAATATCCTTATTTAGAGACTAACTAAACATTCTTTCTTTCCTTTGAAGATCATGTAATAGAAAAGCTGGAGAAATGTGGTTTCTTTAATGATAACAGAAAGGACATATTCTTTTTGACTGTCCATGATGCTGTCCTCCATGTACAGAACCAGGTTAAATCCCGAGAAATTCAAGATTCCATTTTAGAAACGGTAAACATTTAACTTTTCTACATATGTATCTTTCTTGAACTATCATGATTTCTATTAATGGCAAAAATTCCACAAATTTAGGTTTGAATCCCAGCCTTGTGGGATGTTAAACCATCTGGTTAATTTCTCAGAGCCTCAATTTTCTCACCAATAAAATGGCAGTAAAAACATTTTCTTTGCTAGGTAGATATGAAGACTAAGTATGATAGTTCATAGGAAAGCACCTAAGAACACCTAGTATATATTATTCTATAATGTGTAGGCTTACTAATAAGTAGGCTTTAGCTGTAGTGCCTTTTTAGAATATAGGCACTGAATCTCGGATCTTCTAGGACTTGTATATACAAATGCATTTTAAATTTTCAGCAGTCTAGAAACTCTTGATGATAAATGTCTTTAAATAGGATCCATTAGATCATAAGTGATCGTTGAAAAATAAAAATAAAATAAAAGCCATGAATTATCCCAGAGTTAATTATCCCCCACAGAATAGAATAAATCCTGATTTCCTGTGGGATTCCTATTTTTCAGTCCTCTTGTCAGGCACCTGGGAGACTTGAGTGCTTCTGGTCTGGGTATGAGGCTGGGCCTACTGGTGGGCCTGGTACAAGAACCTCTTCTCTCATGGACCTTCCCACAGTAAATTTCTGAAACAAAAACAATACCTATAAAAATAATTATTATTATTCCAGGGACACAGTCTACTATATTTTACATTGCTTCTTTTTCCCTCTAAAATTAGGATAGATTCTTATCGGAAATTGGAAATTAATGTCTGAAGTAAAAAAATAATTTAGAAAACAATAGCACATTATTCTTTTAAGCCATTGTTAGAGAGATTGCTCTGCTTAATGCTGCTGGAGAAAATACTAGCCCTAAAACCAAGATCTGGATCTTAAATACAAAAAAGGGGGGGGTATAGTAAAACCACAAATCTAAAAAAAAGCTACATGCAAAATGCTCATCTTTGAAAACTCATAAACCTTTTTCTATCTAACTTAAAATTTTCTAACCCATAGGTAACAATGACAAAGTAGGATCATGTAAAGTATCTTAAAAAAACCCTCATTAAAGGTAAAATAGACTTGCTCTGGCCGGGTGTCTTAGTTGGTTGGAGCATCATCCTATACACAAAAAGGTTGCAGGTTCAATCCCCGGTTGGGACTGTACTGATCAATGTTTCTCTTTCTCCCCCGTCCCTTCTAGAATCAATAAAAGCATATCCTTGGGTGAGGATTAATTTAAAAAAAAAAAAAAAAAAAGTAAAATAGAACCAAGGTGTCAAGTTCTTTCTCAGCATGAAAAGTTATTTTATTATTTGTTTACACCCTGTTCTGACCCAAGATCTTAGATCCCATGAATGTCATAGAAGCCACTAACCAGCAGTGCCTTTACCAGCATCAGACTCAACATTGTTTATAATCAGAGAGGCATTGCGAGTGGCTGGGATGGATTTTTTGACCCTGAACAAGTGTCAGATTGAGTATAACTGAATGGTTGTATTATATACCTACTGGTTCACTGAATAGTGGGCTGAGCACTAGTGGTAGCCTCTCAGGTCAGGAAACTTATACTTCTGTGTACCCTCAGTATCTAGCACACAGCCGTTTATATGGTAGATGTAGAGTAAATGATGATAAATCCTACCTGTGACACCTTCCTTTTCTTTGGGAAGGGTAACTTGTATATTACAGATATTGTGGATGCAGTGGTATGACCCTCTTCCTATCCCTTCATATGACCAACACAAGGACTATCCCAGGACAGTCCCAATTTGTAGTTACACCTATCCTCTCACTTTTCCATTGTGTCTGACCACCTGCACAGGGACTAAATTCTCTAATTCATTTCCACATTAGCAAAGAGAATTGGATTATTTGTGAGATGAAAAGTAGCTAAAAAGCTTTTTGAAATGCCACTCTTGATATACATCTGAAATTGCTTTGGGAACATCCTTCTTTACGCATGAGACAAAGCCCAAACTGTTATTGGTTTCCTCATTGCTTACTACTAAAAACCAGAACTTTCATGAACTACTAACTTGGTCCATGGATGCTGGTTTCCATCTCCAATGAAATTAATATCCATTAGGACTGTTTATTGTCGTCAGTCATGAGCCCATTCATTGCATGCTCCATGCTGTACTAAGTGCTCTTAGTTTAGCCCTTGAAATAAAGACACTATTGATGCTAAATCGTTCAGGCAGACGAGGTGACTCCTAAGAGGCATGTGCTTCAGAGGCTAGGGAAGAGAGTGGAAAAGGAGGTCGTCAATGGAGAACGATGCCAGTTCACACCTGAATGTGAAAAATGGTACAGGGAAAACGCTCAGTGAGAAATACGAAGGGACAAGAAAGCTGAAAAGATTCTGAAGGGCATAGATTATTATAAATGAGAGGCACCAGCAGTGCTTCAAGTTGTTTTCAGTGGAGTATCAGGTGGGTCGATGCTATTATATTTTCAATAAATATTCTCTGTGTTCTCTTTGTCAAGATCTCCCTCATCCAAGACCACAAAGATCCTCTTGAATTAATGGAAGCAGAGCTGATTGAAGAAGAACTTAATGTTGAGGATGAGGTATGAACATTATTTTCTTTCAAAGAAAATAATTTGGATTAAATCTTGAATAAATCGAATAATACATACAGTGACTATGTCTGATACAAATTATTCAGAGAAAACTTAAAAAAAAAAAATACCCAAAAGATGGCTTAATAGAAAGGGGAAAATGGAAAACAAGAATTCCCCCTTGAAGACATTAAGAACTTGGAACCTTCTGCCCCAGATCAGCAACTGGAAGCAGCCAACACACTGGTCCTGATTTTATACCTAAGCCTTCACATACTTTTTCTTCCACAGACCTAAGGAATAGAGGAAGGGTGATTAGAGTGAATTTCTAACCCAGGAGTTTCATAAGCTTCAGAATTAGTATGTGAGCACCAGGAACCTCATGACCTTTCTTCATCTGACTGATAATGGCCTAGAAAGACTGATTCTATGTAATTTTTATGCTCTCGGGGACATCAGTCAATTCCTAGGAAACTTGACTGAAATTTGTAGTTATCAGAGTAAACTTTGTGGCTCCACCGCTGAGTAAAATGGGGCTAACAAAAGAAGATCATAGAAGTTGAAAGTTGAGCTGGGCCGGGCGTGGCTCAGCGGTTGAGCATCGACCTAGGATCTAGGCGATCGGGGTTCGATTCCCAGTCAGGGCACATGCCCTGGTTGAGGGCTCAATCAATGACTCTTTCATCATTGATGTTTCTATCTCTCTTTCCCTCTCCCCCTCTCCTTTCTTCTCTCTGAAATCAATAAAGATATATATTTGAAAAAAAAAAGAAGTTGAAAGTTGAAAGATGTCTTAAAAATCAAGTAGTGCTCATGCAGAAATCCCCCTACACTATGTCTAAGGATGTTCACTCAGCTTTTGCATGAACATTTCCAGACATTGGCAACTAGTAGCTTTTCCAGGGAGTTTGTTACATGGTTGGAGGTCTCCAAGTGTTAGTTGTGCTTACAAAACTAGATTTGGCTTTTCTCTAATAACTGGTGACTGAAATCTACCTTCTCTAGCAATACAAACCATTCCACTGAACAGCCATTAAATATTTGAGAGTATCTCTCAGGTCTCCACCATACTCTGCTCCAGGTGGGACTCCTCCAGTTCCCTTTAACATTCCTCATAGACACAAAATTTGTCAATGCTTCTCTGGCAAAGAAGGGGACACAAAACGCTAGACAGGGTCAGACCAGCATGGAGATCATGCAACCATGACCTACCTTGATCTCATTAAGATATTTCTATTATTATGACTGGAAAATGTGTTTATTTTCATAATAGCTACATCAAAATCTTTGCTTCTGTTGAGCAGGGGTCAACTAAAGACTTGGGCATTTTCACAGAAGTCGTCATCCAGCTGGGCTCCCCATTTATATTTACGTAATTGGTTTTTGACCCCCCTAGTGCAGGACTATACATTTCTGATAGATTATATCGTTTGTTCCTGTTTATTGACATCCTTTTGAATTCTGAATTTATCATCCAGCACACTAATTATGCACCACCACTGGTGTCATATGCAAATCTGATATGCAAAAATGCCTTCTCTGCCTAATTACAGGTCCTGGTAAAATGTTGAAAAGCATAATATTCAAACCCTTATGGTAAAATCAGGCAGTGAGAATGACAGTCTTAGAAGACTTTTGTGGAGTAAATACACTTCTAGGGTGAAAATCTGAGGTCTTGAGTCTTAGCGCATCAGCTTAGTGAGCCCAGGAACATCATCACTGAGCTGTGTAGTAGTTTATGACAATGGATATAGGGCCAGCTTAGTTGAGTACAAACTCATATATCAAAATTGGAACTTAAGAAATTGCCACAGTATATAGAAGTATTTTTAAAATTTTATCTGTATTGTTGAAAGTATTACGGATGTCACTTTTTTGCCCTCACTGACCTCCTCCACCCTACTCTTGCCACCCCCCCCACCCCCCGCTCACATCCTACTCCAGTCTTTCACTGCACTATTTTCTGTGTCCATGGGCTATGCATATAAATTCTTTGGTCAATCTCTTCCTGCCACAACCCCCACTCTACCCACAACCACCACTTCCCTCTGAGATTCCTCAGTCTGTTCCATGCTTAGAAATATTTTTGATTGCCACATAAAAAGGTCATTCAGGTAGAATTGCTGTAGATGGTGAGGTAGTATAGTAGAGTGGTTTTAAGGGCATGGACTTTAGAACCAGATAGATCTGAGTGCAAACCCTGATTCTGCTACTTACTGTCTGTGTAGCCCAGGACAAATTATTTACCCTGTCTTCATGTAAAATAGAAATAATAATACTTCAAAGAGTTGTGAAAATTAAAGGATGCATAGTAAGTGCTCAATAAATAGTAATTATTGCTTTTAAATAAATCTAATTAAAGTATAATGACTTACAAAATTAAGTTTTTACCCTGTTTTTATTTTTTTAAATTTATCTTTATTGTTGAAAATATTACAGATGTCCCCTTTTTCCCCCATTCACCCCTTCCACCCCACGCCCACTCCCCACCCCAGGCGTTTACCACACTACTGTCCGTGTCCATGGGTTATGCATATATGCATATAAATTCTTTGGTTAATCTCTCCCCACGCACCCACCCACCCCCACCTTCTCTCTGAGATTCATCAGTCTGTTCTATGCTTCTATGTCATTGAATCTATTTTGTTCATCAGTTTATTATGTTCTTTAGATACCACATATAAGTGAGATCATGTGATATTTGTCTTTCTCTGCCTGGCTTATTTCACTTAGCATAATATTCTCTAGGCCCATCCATATGTCCCAAAGGGTATGAGATCCTTCTTTACAGCTGAGTAGTATTCCATAGTGTAAATGTCCCTGCCCTACTTTTATTATGATGATATGCACCTAAGATGAGTAAATGCAAGCAGCCCACATTATCAAAACATATTTGTAAAAAGACTTAAGGATAATTCAGTTGTATTGACACTTTGTTTCCCCTTTGTTTCCACAGGCTATGCGTAGACTTGCTTCCTGAAAGTGGAGTCAGAAGGTCACTATAAGCAAGTACTACAAGGCAAAATTTAACACCAATGTAATTCTATGCAAGCATTTTCTGCATTGACTACATCTTTGGACTTGAAACACTCATTCTTTTTCCATTAGATTTAAAAAAAATCTTTGATCTTTTTTTTAACCTTTCAGCCATTAAAAGAGAGGCACTTAAGGTTGTTTCTAGGCTTTATTTATAAAATAAATAGCTCACCTCTAAAATGTGCAAAATGGCTTGGCCGGCGTGGCTCAGTGATTGAACATCGACCTATGATCCAGGAGATCACGGTTTGATTCTTGATCAGGGCACATGCCTGGGTTGCAGGCTCCATCCCCAGTCAGGGGCGTGCAGGAGGCAGCTGATCAATGACTCTGCCATCATTGATGTTTCTATCTCTCTCTCTCCCTCTCCCTTCCTCGCTCTGAAATCAAGACTTTTCTTTTTTAATTTAATAAATAAATAAACAAAATGTGCAAAATGGTGAGGAGAATTATGCTGGCGATTTAGCAATGTCTAGGATCTGCTTATGTTATGCTGCTGTATCTCTGACATATTTGCTAACAATGTTCATGTGGGTACTGGGGTACCTCTGTTCAGTCGGGGTAAGTGTGACCCAATCGCCTTTGTAGGCAGTTGAGTCAGGAATGATTATCATTAAAAAAATCTATTTCTGACTGGCCTTAGTGCCCATAAGCTGCACTGAATCACAGTGTAAGCGCACATTGAGTAAATGTTGAAATAGAATTGTTAATGCATTTATCAGTAAAGGCCTTCAAAAATGACTTTTGGTAAATACATCAAAAAAGTTTTAAAAATGCAAATTTGGTTAGTACTTAATGAGTGTTATATTGACCATATAAGTAACCAGAATTCAGAATCAAGGAAATGATTCACTTCAAATCTACAGAACTGGGCTGATATATTTTTAAAACATTGATTTAGAGAGATGAAGCAATAAGATTATTGTGGTTTTTAAAAATCATTTTTTGATATGATAATCATGGATACAATTAAAATCAAATAAAATATATGAAATAGCTTAAAATGCAATTTTAACTTAGTTTATAGAAATAATCATTGTGGAAAGGTACATAGTGGTATGGTTTATTTAAAATCTAACATAAAAGTTGTGTTATTTTGAACAAAAAACAATTTTGATATGTTTATAAGACTGTGGTGATTAAAATAAGATTATGTTTTTCTCTAAAATTTAGCAGTATGTAAAGTAAGTGATCTTTAACTGAATTCTGACCACCTCTCAAAAAAAATCTAAAAAATAAATAATCTGGATATAAATCTACATTTAAAATGAGTTTTTCAGGATGAAACATTCTACGTGAACTCAATAGCAAGAAAAAAAAATTGGTTTGGACTATATACATTGAAAATGTATAGACTTTAAAAAACCATATTTTGATCCAAAAAATATTATTTTATATATTTTTAGTTTTGTTTAATCTTTTCTCACTGCCAATGATTTTTCTAAGTATTATATATAATATATGGGCTGTGGTCTTCTGGACTATTCCCATATACAGGGTGTCCCCCAAAAGGTATACACACTTTAACAGCTGATAGCTCAATTTTGAAAATGAAAAGTATTTTAATAAACACTGCCTTTATAATTAGTCAAAGTGTGTGTATGCATTTTTTGGTACACCCTATATTTCACACTAGAGTGAATGAAGTTGTACTTCATTTCTAGAAAAAATAAACACTCAGATCCCCAACAGAGACAATGTCTTGCATGGTTGAGAATTATATTATACCTTTGGCACAAATGTATGATATTCCCAAATACGTTTGGCTATCCAAGGAGAAACAAGATATCTACTTCTGAAGGAGTATCATCAGTGATCATACCAAACTGGATAACTAAAAGAATCATCACTCCCACCCCCACCCGCATTCTGCACATTAGAATTTGAGTGAGTTGTAATGGATGATTGTGATGTTACAATATTCTTTCATGCTCATGGGTGACTCAGTCTTTAATTGACTTAGAATAGATTTCTCCCCATGCTGGGTACAGTATAACCAGGATTATAATATTATCTCATTTTCACAATAATACCTGCTTATAATGGCAACAAATCATCTCTCTAAAGAGCAAATATAAAAGTCTTGCAGAAAATGGAAGAATACCTCTGCTCAATAGAGGAAATATGCACTGCTTATTTTTTTATTAGTTGAAGGAAATACCAAAGTTACCCTTTATAATAAGGCTAAAGTTTTATGAAATCCTGGTTCCATTTGTGACTATATAAGACCAGTCTTTTTGACTAGTTTCCTAAGCACTAGAAATACTATCTCTTCTATGCATTTTTTGAATAATAAGCATATTTTAATTCTGTATTGCCAATGGAAATTTACTTGAAATTAAAATTGTCTTTTGTTTGTTTTTAACCTATATTATAAGCTCCTAGTGTTGTATATGAATTTCAATAAATAAAAATATCAAATCATACATTTAGAATAATCACACATTTTAAAAATTAAATGTAAAGTTACCTTTTAAACTACTTTACCGTGTCTTTTCTGAACAAAACTATTAAATATAATTAAAGATGCTACATTTTAAGTTTGCAGTTACTCTTATCACTTAGTTTGATGTATTCTTTACAGCTCGACTTCCATCTTTTGTGGGTGTGCAATTTCTTGTTGTAAAAAGTTATCAGTGCAATAAACAGTGTTACTCACAAATATCTCAGTTAAATATTGTAATTCTTCCTGGCTGAGTAGCTCAGTTGGTTAGAGCATCATCCTTATAAGCCAGGGATGGGCACCATCTGGCCCTCAAAATCACTTGTTTTGGCCTTACCACGGCCTCACCAAAGAGAAGCAGTTCCAGCCATCACATTAGAAGTGAGTTAATTAAATGTTTGACCAAATATAGCAGGCTAATTTTTAAATTAATAATTTTGTGTGGCCTGAGAATGATGTGATAAATATCCAAATGCCCTTGGCAGAAACAAGGTTCCCCACTCCTGCATAAGCCAAGGTTGTGGGTTCAATCCCCAGTCAGGACACAGAGAAGAGGCAACCAATGAATGAGTGGATAGGTGGAACAAGTCCAATGTTAGTCTCTCTCTCTCTCTTTCTCAAATCAATAAATAATTTTTTTTAAAGTGTTAAAAAATTTAATTCTTACCCAAATATTTCCAGCTTATTTTGTGCAATGATTTTCATTATTTTAAACAAACTTTTCATGCTTGTACAACAGACACTATCAAAAGGATTCAAAGGATAGTTTACTGCTTGAAGAATTTTCACAAAACAAGCACATCAGTGCAATCAGCACCCAGATCAATAAGCAGAACATAACCAGCACCCCAGAAGCCCTCTCATGCTCCCTCCCAGTAATTGCCCTAAGGGATAATTACTGTCCTGACTTCTAACATTTTTTTTTTTGAACTTCATATAAATGAAATCAAACAAGATTGTTTCTTTTTCCCCCTTCTCTTTTGTGTCTGTCTTTTTTTACTCATCACAATATTGAGATTCATCCATATTATTCCATTTAACAATCATTTGTTAATTTTCACTGCTCTATAGTATTCCATTGTCTGAGTTTACTACCACTTATTTATCCATACTATTGTTTGTGGACATCTGTGTTTTTTCTAGTTTTTGGCTTTCATGAATAGTGCTGCTATGAACATTCTTCTCCTTTTTTGTGTGTGAACATATGCACACAATCTGTAAAGTACATGCCTGGGAATGGAGTTGCTGGGNGGAATGCCTGGGAATGGAGTTGCTGGGGTCATATACATATGTTTTGCCTCAGTNTAAAGTACATGCCTGGGAATGGAGTTGCTGGGGTCATATACATATGTTTTGCCTCAGTAGATACTTCAGTAGACATCTAGTATCCACAGCAGACTCTTTCCAAAGTGATCACATCAATTTATACTTCTTTTGGATGTGAGTTCGAGTTCCAGTTGCTGCACATTTTGCCAGTCCTGGGTCTGTGTGTCTGTTTCACTTAAGTTTTTCTTGTGGGTGTGCAGTAGTATCACACTGTGGTTTTAATTTGCATGTCACTGATGTCTAAAGAAGCCCAATACCTCCTGAGATGTTTAGTATCATTTAAATCCTTTTTTGTGAATCATCTGCCCATCATTTGTCTATTTTTCTTTTTGGTCTTCTGTCTTTTTCTAATTGCTTTGTAAGATTTTACATAGGATACAAATCCTTTGTTGAAAATACGTATTGTAAATATTCTATGGATTGTCTTTTCACTCTTAATCCTGTCTTTTGATGAGCAGTTCTTAATTTTAATGTAGTACAATTTATCATTTTTCCCTTAATGGTTACCTTTTGAGGGGGGAGTATCTCGTTTAAGAGATTGTTGCCTCCCTAAGATAATGAGGATATTTTCCCATTTTCTTTAAAAACTTTGCTTTACCTCTCCCATTTAGATATACAGTATATCTAGAGTCAATTTTTGTATATGGTGTGAGGAAAGGAGTGAAGATACATATTACTTTTTCAAAAAGAGATATCCCATCACCCTGGCTGGTGTTGCCCAGTGGTTAGAGCATCATCCTGTGCACTGAAGGGCTGCTGGTTTGATTCCTGATTAGGACACATACCTATGTTGCAGGTTTGAAACTTGGTCCGGGTGCATGTGGGAGGCAACTGACGGATATTTCTCACATTGATGTTTCTCTCTCTCCCTCTCCTTCCTGTCTCTGTAGAATCAGTGAAAAACATATCCTCGGGTATTAAAAAAAAAGCCACCTTTCTCCTTCTTCAGTGCTGTGTGTCTGTTTCTGGACTCTTTACTTTGTTTCATTGGTCTATTTTTCTGTCCTTATACTGATATTTTAACTGTTTTGATTATGACAGGCTTTTAGTAGCTCTAGATTTTTGGAAGTGTAATTCCTCCAGTTTGTTCTTTTCCTACTATATTTGTGCTTAGCCGTCCTCATCTACATTTTAGAATAGCCTACCAATTTTTAATGAATATCATTCTTAATATATTTTCTAGAATTAGCAAAAATTTG